CAACAGTCACTCGCCAGCTGGCAAAATAAATGGAGTGAAGGGAGTTTGGGACGATGGTTATATTCAATCATCCCTAAGGTGTCGAAGTGTCCTTGGTTCAAGGGGTTGGATGTGGGTCGGGACTTCATTCGTATGATGTCTCGCCTCATGTCCAATCACTACTCGTTAAACGCTCACTTGTTCCGTGTTGAGCTGGGGGACAGTAATCTCTGTGAATGTGCACAGCAAAAAAATAATTTTGATATCACATCAAAGTGGATGCACTACAATCATGTCGAAAATTTCATGTAATTTTTATGACCACATAAATAAACAAATGCATTAAAAGCAGCGTAATGTCAGTTCATGCATTGTATTAATGATAATTTTGTCCTTTTTAGCAAGTAATATTACACCATATTTTCGACATGATTGTAGTGCATCCACTTTGACGTGATATCAAAATTATTTTTTTGCTGTGTGGACAAGGTTACCAGGACGCAGATCACATTATTTGGTCTTGTGCTGAGCATCGCGGAGTCAGATCTGAACTGTACGATTCCCTTCGGGATCGAGGTAGACAACCTAATGTTCCAGTTCGGGATATTTTGGCTAGACGCGATCTGGAGTTTATGAAACTCATATATGTTTACTTTAAGAATGTTAAAATTAGATTGTAAGTTTTATTAACCTTGTGTTTAGTTTGTATTTTGTACGTGTGGGTTTTTTTTATGTTTGTTTTCAAGATGAATAGAAATTAGTTCATGTTTTAGGATTAATTAAATATTTGTATCGTAAACCACATTTCAAACCTCCCTCTCCCTTTTCCCATCCAAAAAAAATTTGTAAATCCCCACTAACCTCGAGACAACCGCGAGTATCCGGTCCAGCTCCTTTAACTTTAAATATAAGAAATCAATAATGTATAACAAAAATGATAACTCGGCTCTGTAACGTTTATTCGATTAAGCCTGTACAAATAAAGTAATTTAAAAAAAAAAGATCAGTAGCGGCGCCGGTGCCACTAACCCAAGGGGCTGGGGCTCAGTCCCAGTCGACGCCGCCAGGATTTTCTGAGGCATACAATCTCTGATCACGCCTTTCTTCGGAAGGGAAGTAAAGCCGTTGGTCCCCGGCCCATCAGTTGATGGGTCGATAGGTAGGGTCTAGGTGTAGGAGCTGTCTCCCTGGTGTCTGTAGCATTGGTATTCAGTACGGAAAACAAGATCGACGAAAAACAAATCAAGGAAAAAAAAAATTAGTTCACTAAATTTTGATCTAGATCAGCTCTATCTTTTGTAAAAAGCATCTTATTATGTAATGAAAAATCACATTTTTGAAATCAATCATATATGTTCAAATTCTGTTTGAATGAGTAGCACTGAATCTAATTTTGATTAGAATAATGGCTGCTAAACAGTTTGAAGAAACAGTTTCAAGCTCATACTGAAGGATGATTTATTCGCAAGATAATCATGAAGTACACATATAATATTGTTTATTGCTATGCATTGTTTGATCGAGTTTCATTTTAGCGGTTACAAAAAAGCAATTTATTTTAATTCTTCTATTTCATTTAATCTGTTACACTTTTTACGTTGTTAAATATAAAACAATGAACTTTATCTATGAATTTTATCTTCAGAATCCGTCTCAAAGTGAAGGAAATACACAACATCTGACCTAACTTCATTTTCAGATTGCCGGCGCCGGTGGTGTAGTGGTAAGCGTGACTGCTTTCTCATACCCCAATGGTTCAACCCCAGCCGAGGTCGGTGAGATTTTTCTTAGGCATAAAAATCTCTGGTCACGTCTTCCTTAGGAAGGGAAGTAAAGCCGTTGGTCCCGGCCCATGTGTGTTGAATGGGTGCGATATCCTACGCAGGTGTGGAAGCTGCCTTCCTGCACATTCGATTGCCGTCAATGGATGGCAATCGATGTCCGTCGGTGATTGGCACTAGATTGCGGAACAGAGACCGACGTTAAATAAAGGAATGAATGAATGAATTCATTTTCCGTTTGTCAGATGAAGTGGAGCGAAAGGTGGTGGTGGGAAACATTGTGTAGGGAACAATGGTATACAACGCACCCCCTGGGCTGAACGCACCAGCTGACTTTCATTTGTGTTTTTCATGGCTTTTACGAAACTGTTTTGTTGTCTTATCAAGCAGCACTTCTAGCATAGCATCTGAAATCAAAATCCTGCATGATAAATCCTAGAATTGGATTCAAAATTCCAAGAAAATCTCAAAAAGTGCGTCCTACCCCGGGGGTGCTTTATGTACCGTTCTCCCCTACGTCTGATAATTACGCTAATGTGCCTGATACAACCAAATGTATGCCACGAACAAATCGTTTCGAACACACAGCTAAAATTATTTTGTAATTTTACACGAATTTCCATGCACATAAAAAGGGCATGCATATTCATGTAAAATTTAATTGGTTTTTAAATTTACACCTCTTGAAATTTACATGCATGTAAAATTAAACGTCACTTAAATAAACATGATTGGCTTTAGGTGGGCTCATCTTGTAATTTAAAATTCAGGACATTTAAAATTACACGCATTTTGCTGTATTACTACCTTAAACTTCACACTTAGAAAAATTGATGTAAACTTAGGTGATCTGAGACTGACATATACGAGCGTCAATTTTGACATAAATTTGAGTCCTAATAGACGTGAAATATAGCTTAATAAAACGTACTTTTCGTCGAGCCACGAACTTTTCAGTCTCGGAGCACTTAATATCACATGACATGTTTGTTTACGTCTCATCTTTTATGTCAAAGATAGATTTCGTCACGTGTAAAATTAGTTATTTCTAAGTGTGTATACAATGAATTTTACCTTTTCAATTTCAAATCACGTCGGTTAAGCATTATTCATATGGTGTTAAGGTGCAACGCGCTGTTAATGCACACTGCGAAAAAGACATGTAGGGTTAACTACCCTATTTCCGGCCTATTAAGCACAACCCGCACTTAGTCTTTGTTAATCTAGAGCAGTTTAGCACCAAATGGAATGTTATTTTAACTGTTGGCTTCCAAATTTATTTACCTTTCCGTAAGATTTGATAAAGAGAAACCAACCGTTGAGATATTGTCAAAAGTCTAACACTGCTTCTTGACGCCAAACTCGGCCTACGAATTCTAAACAAGGCCTAACGCATTGAAACGCAATTAAAACGCTAATGAATTCACTTCGGCTTATCGGATGAAAATAAAAATTGATTCAGTCGGAGCGCTTGTTTTGTTTTTGGGAAAAATAGGTGCAAACCTTCATATCACGCGTTCTCATTGACTTCGTTCGGTAGCTTATTAACTAAAGTATCGTACCAAACGCATAATAGACTTGTTAACACTCTACCCTACATTTCAGTGCCCTGAGATCGACACATGCAAGCGACCCTTTTGACATAAGAATTAGTTGAAAAGGACGAGAAAATCAATTCAATCAAACGCACTTTTCGGCGAGTTGCATATGTTTCAGTTTCAGGACATTTAATTTTACATGCCATGTTTGTTTACGTTCCATGATTAACGTCAAAGCTGAATTACATCTCATGTAAAAATAATAATTTCTAAGTGTGTATATAATAATAATAATAATAATTGGTCATAATCCAACCGATTACAAATAGCAAAAGGTTGGATTTATAGGAGCTTTAGGAAAACTATAATATATATTTTTCATGTGTTATCGAAGCACATATGAGCGTAGATAAAATCTACGGCTGACACCATCGAAAGAAAACCTGAAAAGCAGGTGAAGATCACGGACTGGGGCGCCAAAGTATGCTCTACAAAAATATAACTTTCGAAGCGGCAACTTAATGCCCGTGATGAGGGAAGAGTGAGGCAACTCGGGACTTATTTTTACAGATGTTTGAAATCTTGTTTTTTTTTCACGTTGATGCCCTAGTGTTCGAATCAAAGCCTAGTTGGATTGATAAATTTTACTAATCTCCAATTCTGGAAATATAAATTCATTCTAAGGTTTTCTAATCATGCTTCTTATTTAGGGAAAAACAAACAGAATTTGATCAGATTACGCTTGATTCTACAGATTAAATAGTCTTAGTTTCTATTAAATCGGGTTGAATTGAAATTCTGAGAAAATAAAATTGAGGTTTTGTCCAAGAGTTTACCCGTTCTGCCATTTCAATTGCAGACGTTAACTCAGATGTTATCGACGGTCATCAATTAAAAACTGCCAATTTTTTTTTACAGATTCCTTGCGAAATTTCAAGCTGAAAACAGTCGCTAAATTTATATAGCGATATCAACGTTTGAATAGCATGTTATTGAAAAACTAAATTTAAAGAGGGATGGCGGGATGGGTACCTGATCAGAGGAGCGTTCCAACCTGCGCAATTAAATTATTTTCTTTATTTTGACCCTAAATGAGTATCTTCAATTAATTTTACATCACATACAAAGTGGTCGATTTCAATTCTAAATATTCATGTGATCATTTGGCGTGGAATGACCCATATGTTCCATTTGTCATTTGTCCTCTCGAGGACGGTCTATATCAACCCGTTCGCATTCGATGCAATCAGTAGGATTCAGATGGAACCTAAAATGTTCAATTATTTGTTCATCCATACCGGAGTTAGTTTTATTGAGTAAACAGTCAAAACACAGCTCAATATTTGCACTCAAAATAAACCAACCCCTTGAGCAAATCGCGAAAATTCACAACACTGATGAATCCACTTTCCAAGTAACACACTGCTAAAACTTAATCACACCAATACATTGCTAATCATATAAGACTTCCTAGAGTCATGCGTATAAGCAGTCTCACTATATCTTCATACGCAGCGTACGACAAACTCTGGAGCTGTGGTTGTGCTACACGTTGAGAGACTTAAATGCAATACTGCTAAAGCTGAAACAAGAGAGGAACCCCACAAAAACAACTCACAACAACACCCTTTGGGCACCGGTGACTGCCGTGCCGTGTTGAATTGAGCTCCATTTCAGTTGTGGTGTGAGCGAACTGTATATTGGTGGTGCCCCGTCGGATTAATTTCATCGCGATCGTATGACCCCTCGTGACTTTTGTTCACGCGCATTCACATTCTTCCTCGCATATTTGTGACTGTGCCGCGGACCAGTCTAGCCTCTAATAATAACCAGTTCTCAGGGATCTTATTACGCCGTGCTATCTTGTTCGTTTCTTCTTCCTTCGTTTCGTTGCTCCTGCCCCCGCGTGGCACGCTAGACTTTGCTGGGGCATCATCTCTAGAGTGCTCATAACCTGTTGTTGTTGCTGCTGATCGAGTGTGCTATAGTGGATCCAGTCTCCAACGGTGACCCATCGCGAACGGACAAACGACGAATCGAGTGCATCGAATTGAGTTAGTGTGCAAACGGTGTCCGGTTATCAAGTTCTTAAATTTGTGCTACGTTTTTGTTGTGTCTAGCTTGGTCAAGCAACAGCACCTTTTTTTTTTACTTACGGCCACCGAAAGAAAAGAAAACCAGCTGCCGAAATAGATTGAGGTTGATGTGCCAAATGTGTGCCAGTAGTACTACCTCCATAGTTGCAGCAGATATAATACAGTGAGAGTAATTTTTCCTTCTTTCTCTTTGATGTACTGGGGGTCTTCCTGAAATCGAAACTTGAATCTCTTGATTGAGCGAAGCTTCGCAAATCGTTCATACTTCACTGCAGTGGCTAACAAGTCACGCGTAGTCACAAACACGGAAGGTGATGGTACACAGAGTCAGCAAAACAAACAGAAAAAAGTGAATTCAAGAAGTGAGCACGAACGCTTTCCCTTTTGGCGGGTGTAACCTTCTCTCCATTTCACAGTGTGGTGGTGGCCAATACCTAGTGTACCAAAGTCTTCGACTAAAATAGAAAGAGGAAAAGATTAGTGAGGAAAATAGTTTCAATTGTTAGCAATACGTGCTGTTGAATCCATTCGCGTGGTAGTGGTGGTAGAAGCGAAGACGAAAGCGAAAAGGAAATCCAAAAGTGCAATTTTCGAACGTAAGGTTGTAAACAATGATGGCCCCCATAGGCGGAAGTACCGGCGACCCTAAAGATGGCCATATAGCGGTCATTTCGACGGGACCCGTCCCCTCGGTTGGAGTTCAACAGCCAGGTACGGCTTTGATGGACGGGGACAAACGTCGCATCAGTCGGATGTTTAGCTGGACTGCTGATTCACCTGTTGTCACGTAAGTACACCGGTTCCCGACCATGTAGAAAGGGTTTATGTAGGGTAATGGCAATTGGTTAGAAAGTTGCGAATGTGATTTACCTTTTGTATTCTTCTAGGATACGGAGAATACAAAGCCTTCCCGGTTTTAGCATCACGTGGTTTTTGTATTTTTTGTTTTCTATTTAATTCACAGAACGGTTTATTCAATTTATGATCGTAGGGTTAACTATTCCATGCCCAGCCTATTAAGCACAACCCGCACTTAGTATTTCTTAATCTAGCGTAGTTTAGCCCAAACGGAATGTTATTATATTACAGACGGCTTCAAAATTTATTTAACTTTCCATATGTACCATTAGTTCTGATAAGGGGTCGCGAAATATTCGATTATTGTTGAAAATGCAAAACTGCTTCTAGCGGTTCAACTTGGCCTACGGGTTTTCTTGAGCCTATTAGCCATTGAAACGCCATTGGGATTCTCTTTGGCCTATCGAACGGAAAGAAAAGTGAATTCGCGTGCGCCATTTGTGCACTTCAAGTGCGCCTTTTGTTTTCGAGATCTTATTTTGCGTTCTTCTTCGTCTTGAATAGAAGCATCGTATCAAACGTTTGTTTGACACGTTCACGCCGAAATCATAGATACCTATATTTGATGGTTTGTGCTCGATAGGTCGGGAATGGGCGATTATGCTGAAGTAGATTTAATAATCTATAATAAAATTAATCAACCAACCAACTGGACCTTTACTCAGGCATAGTAAATGCTTGATATTTCATAAACATGGGCTGGAAAGCCCAAGCACAAATCTAGAAATAAGTAATTGCTGGTGAGTAAGAACACCAGACGAGGTAAGACCGACCACAGCCAGTTCTATGTGAAATCCTCAATATTCAATAGAGAAAAGATTAATTACATTTTTAATCATTCTGAAACACCTTGTAGCTCCCGAACTTAAGTAACGTTAACACAATGAATTAAAACAAACTTCTCGTTCAGTGGGGATTTTCACGATCTAATTTTAAAAGCAACAAATCTAAGGCTGTTTGATAGTGGCGCTGGTAAGCATGAGTGCCTCTCACTGGGTTCAATCCCAGTCGGCGCCGTACTGGATTTTCTCTGATCAAGTAGGAAAGTAAAGCCGTTGGTCCCCGGTCCATGAGTTGATGGGTCTATACAGGGGTTACTCAAAATAACTAGGATTGGCAAATTTTTGGTCAACTTTGGAGTGTTGTAACTTCGTCAAATATGATCCGGTTTTAAATCTTCCAAAAGCATTTGACTGGAAAACTAATATTGTTCTACGGTGTAGCCACGAAAATAATCTTGGTCACCGGATAGATATTGCGGGTTTCCGGAGGGCTTGTCTAACTTTGCTAAATTTTTGGTGAAATTTTATGTATGATGCTGGTTAAATATATATATTTTTAGTAAATACAACGAAAGAAGAACCATTTTTAAAGCTTATCATATGCCAAGAACTAAAATCGGCTTATAATCAACCGAGAAATGGCCATTTCCCTGGAATCGGTTCTGGTGGAGGGTTCTGAATGCGGGCAGATCATTTAATCACTCAAAACATGCCATGCAACAGCTTTTTCTTCATGGTTTCTCGTCAATAGACTTTCGATAAACTTAACATGCATCATTGACCACATTTGCCACTCTCGGAACATCCAGTATGCTCCCGGGGGAACCTGTAGCAGAGGACAATTGCATTTTTACACCAAAACATGCCATGCGACAGCTCATTCTTCATGGTTTTTTAAGAATAGGCTTTCCATAAACTTCAAATTAATCATTGACCACATTGGCCGCTCTTGGAATCACGGGATACCCCTGAGGAATCCTGTAGCAGGGGTCAATTGCGTTTTTACACCAAAACATGCCGTGCGACAGCTTTTTCATGAATAGGCTTTTGATAGACTTTTAATGGATTAGTGACCACATTGGCCGCTCTCGGGACCTCCGGTATGCCCCGGGGGAACCTGGAGCAGAGGACAATTGCATTTTTACACCAAAACATGCCGTGTGACAGCTCATTCTTCATGGTTTTTCATGAATAGGCATTCATTAAACTTCAAATGGATCAGTGACCACATTGGCAGCTCTCGAAATCACGGGATACTCCCGGGGGGAACCTGTAGTAGGGGGCAATTGCGTTTTTACTCAAAAACATGCCGGGCGATAGCTCTTTCTTCATGGATTTTCATGAATATGCTTTCTGTATACTTAAAGTGAATCATTGACCACATTGGCCACTCTCGGTACTACTGGGATGCCCCGAGAAAACCTGTAGCAGGGGACAATTTCGGTTTAACTCAAAAACGTGCCGTGCGACAGCTCTTTCTTCATGGATTTTCATGAATATTCTTTCTATAGACTTAAAGTGAATCATTTACCACATTAGGGTAGGTAGGGTTCAGGTGTGGGAGCTGCCTCCTTGGCCTGGCGTCGGTAGCAGAACTCGGTACGGATATCGACGAAAAACAAATCAAGGGAAAAAAAACGCTTTTTGATGAAAAAACCATACCCCTCACCATCCCTCTCTCTCTGTGCACGGGTGTGTTTTTTTTGTAACTAGCGTAAGTGTTCCTGCGATTTGCATTGAGTGTCGGAGATTGTATGTAATCTGAAGGATGCCTCGCTGGATATGCCCAAGACTGGACGGGCAGTAGCTGGTGGCCGTGAACGGTTCCTGGGAAAGCACTAGATGCGACCCTCCTCCCAGATGACCATGGCAATAGAGGATGTATTGGTATTGGAAGGTAATTGTTATTAGATATTTTGCAAACAGTGACAGATAGCGGACATGAAGAGCCAGTCGAGGTACCGGGCAAAGGTGTTTATCCTAGACAAATAGTAAGTTACAAATTCGCTGTTGTCGTTGTCGTAGGCGCCGCCGTAGTCGCTGTCGTAATCGCCGTCGTAGTCGTAGGCAGTTCCGTTAGTATATTTAAAATTAACCACCAACCGCTGAAAATATGAATTATCGCGGATTTCTGTTGTTCATTACATGCCAAGTAAAATTCGAGCGCGTAATTTCATTTGAATAGCTTGTTCAACTAGGTCTTAAACAATCGTCACGTCGGTCACCTGAACCATGCGTAAAGAGAAAATCGAAACATTTTACGTCGCGTGAAAATGGAACTCAATAAAGGCCTCTTTCGTAGCTTAGCTTAGTTTAAGGATTTTGAAGATCGTCGGTTGCAGTGGCTTGCTTACTGAGCAGAAAAACGCGGTCCCAGATCCTTTCATATTAAAAATGTATGGTTAGTGTATTTTGTAAAACTTTTCGTTGTCGTCGGTGCCGGGTCTGAATAGTCATAAAAACTTGAGTAACGCTATAATGTGATATGAGGGGCTCGGTGGCCTTAGCACAACCGGTTTTGCTTACTGAGCAGAGCATCATGAGTCTAATCTCAAGCCCTTCCACATTCAAGATTCGTCAATCGTTTTATTTGTTAATATGACTACATGGTAATAACAGCAACTCGATGATTAAAAAGGAGCTCGTCTGCCTAGTGGCAAACGTTTTTGCTTACTGAGCAGAAGACCGTGGGTTCAATCCCAAGCTCCTTCGCGTTATATGATTGTTAGGACATCAATTCAGCTTATCGTTTACCAAAACGAACCCTGCTGCAAACCCAACCCTCTTACCCAACATTCCTGTGATTCCTCGTGGAAGTGCAGAGGACTCCTCGGCTTCCATCAAAGCGAGTGTCACGTCAACACATTCCTACCCATTCCTTTCTTGACCTGCGTTCAGGCGCGGCTGGCGCTAGTATTGCCTAATTCGAGATCACCAGTATTTACACATTGAGGACGATTGCTAGTTTTTTTTTTATTAAAAAAAGGTTTTGATAGCTTAGGCTTAGACAAGCTTTAAATCTTTAAAGCATTTTTCGAGAAGAAAATTATTCGAGATAAGAAAGTAAGAAAAAATTAAGATTAAAAATTTCGAAAAATCTTGACATTTGACAAAAATTATGAGAAATCTGGTTAAAATTTAATTTCATCATACCGGATTTCGAAAGTCATTAGCATTAGATTTAATTAGCTGGAAAACTTTCGAATACTTCCTGAACAACCTACAGTTGACTGAACGTCAACAGGCGTTATTTGCCCCAATTATGTAACTTAAACTAAACATGAAAAGTACTAAAACAAAACATCAATAAGTACATAGATAGTCATCTCGTAAAAAAAGGAACATTACTAAACAAACTAAACTGATCTAGAAAAAACGAACTAAACCTCCGGCGAAGCAGCTGGCGAGTCAGGTCAAAATCAAACAGTGCGGAGACCCTATTGAAGAGTCTCTGTAAACCACCGATTGCACCGAACATGCTATAATTAGTTCGCTGTATGGGCAGGCATTGAATTATTCCGTAGGGCTCGGGGTTGAACATTGATGTCAATTTGCTCAAGGAGGACAGGGCAATCGGTGCGTCCTTGCAAAATATCCGCAATTAGCAATGCCCTTACTGTATCTCTTCGGACCGACAGGTGCTCCAGATGGATCAGTTGCAAAAGACTTTCGTAGCTTGGCAATCGGAAGGGATCCGTCCACGGCAGTTTACGTAGCGCATATCTCAGGAATCGTCGCTGAACAGACTCAACTTTTTCGACACCGTTGTTGTAGTGAGGAGTCCAGACAACCGAGCAGTATTCTAATATGGAGCGAGACAAGGAGCAGTACAACGATTTAGGGCAGTAGATATCCGTGAAGTCTTTGGCAATCCTGAAGATAAACCCTAGAATTCTGGAAGCTTTGTCGACGGCGTGTGAGATGTGCTGCTTGAAAAAGAGTTTTGTATCTAGAATCACGCCTAGGTCCTTAATTTGGCTGACGCGCTCAATTTCAGTGCCTCACAAAACATACTTGAACATAATGTTCTCTTTTTTGCGCGAAAAAGAGATAACCGAGCATTTGGACGGGTTAACCTCCATACGATTCAGAATACACCAATCAGCAAAAGCATTCAGCTGACGTTGAAGGAAGCAACAATCTTCAA